CGTTCATAAAATGAATTGCCATTTCGACCAATTCGATTCCGAGTCTTCCGTGAGTTATGGCCGCGATATTGCTACTTCTTACTTACCCTCTGGCCAGCGGTCCTTAACCGCGGCTAAGTGCTACGTCAATCACGATACAGTCTGAGATTTCCCGATCTGTTTTAATTAAATTACAAAAGAAAATGCGCCTTCGTCTAATTGTTTGTACGATCGACTGGCAGATTTCGAGTTTTCTGCTTTTTAATGACTGAAATTGATAAAGGGATTTTGAACGTAAAGGGTTAAAAATAAATATGCTAGCACGTGGCGTGGCGCAGGCTAATATCTTCGCGGGGAAGCAGCGATTCAGCAGAAAGTATACGGTTCCTCGCAAGCTTATTTTACTAGCACGCGAGACGTAAACCGGCAGATTTTTGTATTCGTTTCATGCTGCGGTAGGAAAATAAAGACTCGCGGCCCGACTTATATCGACGCGTTGCGCTTCTATTCCCGCTTCGTTCGCGGCTTTGGACGCGCGAAATGGGCACCGCGTTTCGGCCACGTTACTGAGCAAAAGGATCCCGAGTTACGGTGCCGCGATGAATTTCCACTGTTTAACACTCAGCGAACACCGTTCGTAGCTGGAACTCCCGGATTTCCCGAGAGTTTTATTCGTTTCCTTATTTGCTTCGCGTCTTCCTTCTTGTTTTTTACTGCTCTCGCAATACGTCTCTGTTGCACGACAGTCCAGTTTGATCGAAGGCGACGAGGGATAGTCGACGGTTGACGTTGGAGGATATAAAGTGTTGATGGATAGTTTTCCAGAATAGCATTTGGGATGCCATATAAAATTCCTTTTATATATTATCATAAAAAGATTTCATGTAGAAAAAGAAATTTAATAAAATCTTGTATACTAATTGTCGGCATGGCTATTACAAAAAAAAACTGCTGATTCTGTCGGCGATTATCGTATGCTTACGCAACATGGAGCCAAGATAGAAGCAACATCGATTTGCGATTAAAACGGATTTCAGCAGTGAATGATATTAATTCCATCGAGTTACAACGGGTAACGATGTTAACCCGTTGCCGGAAGGCCACGGATATATCAAGGCAGGCGAAATTAACCGTGTAGCCGAACTCGATTTTTATTAAATCCGACGAACGACTGCACTCAGTTCGATCTCCCGTTGGTTTCGCCTTTCCGAACCAATTATTCCGCTGTTTTGCTCGTTAACGTTTACGGTTAATTACGCAGCCGCTTCGAACAACCCTGGAAAAAAGTCCTGCGTTGCACGCGTGCATTGAAACTCCGAACTGTGCTTTCTTTAATTTAATACACGTGCATTCGTTGGAACATCGTGCGAGCAAACAGGAATTCTCGGCCAATTTAACAAAAGATTGAATTTTTATTATTCGGTTCAGTTACCGAAAAATTTGGAATACTACGGTAGGAAAATTGAGTATTTCTAGATGGTAGTACAAATAGGAGCAGAATTAAATAAATTCTTTATATGTAGTTACAAAACAAATTAAACGTGACAATTATTTTCTACACAGAAACGCTGTAGCGTACATGTACTAATAAAATGTTTTATAAGTGAGGTAATTCGCATAGTTTGCGTGTCTCGAAACATTAATGTCTTCTATTTATACTGTACATCTGATGCTCTCGTTTTTCCCTCTGTTTGATTGCACCATTGATCCTCGGCTCGGTGTACCTGATTGCGCAAACAGCGGCGACGTGGAGAAGAAGAAATTTCAATGACGAACGTAAGGGTGGCTCGTGAACGTTATAAAAAAAGAATACCGAGATAACTGACAGAGTTGATGCGAATAAATGGCGTGGCATAATAACGCTGACGGAATGTGTCCCGCGCTGATTGCGGAGATAGGTAACGGGTCGGGTGAACGCTCGCAGGAAATGTCGCAGAACACGCGTGCACCGTAGATAAGAAAAACAGTTGCGGTTAATTATTTGGGGAGCGGTCTGCCGGTCCGTTGCAATTTCACGGAGGGACGTGTCGTTGACGATGCACGTTCAGATGAATTCGGGCTGTGCCGCGTAAACGCGAGGTTTAACGTGCTGAAACCGTGAATATTTCTCGCTCCTCCGATCCGTAAATATTTGCCGTTCCACCGCACGAGATTGTTCGTGATAAAAACATTAGAGAAATTTAGTAGCAGAGTGCTCGGACGTATGATAAGGAAAAGCGTTTATGCGCTGGATAACGAACGTAAATTTGTTTCTCTTTATTCTTTACTTCGTTTGTAAACATATCTACAGCTTATCTCCGATGTTAATTAAAAATCTTCTATAAAGACAACTAATATTCTTCCTATCTTGATATTGACAAAAATGAGAAAATATGAATAAACAGTCGGAGGAATACTAATAACTACGTTGATCTCTTTAAAAAACTCTTTCACATGTCATAGATACTCCATATACATATTTAGTTAGATCCCGGATGTCATTGTGCCGGAATAGAGCCGAGCGGATAAGATAAGTAATAAAAGTAGCGTCACGTGAAAGCCAGATATTAGATGAGTAAGATCGCACGATGATCTCACGCGACTTCGCACTCTTCTTTGATAACTCGCATCCAAACGTATTTCCCAATTGATCGTATCCCAGAGTTTAGCACAGCCAATATGAAAGTTTCGTGCGCTGTCTTCCCACGCATTCTCGCTCCTATTCTCTAGAATTCCAGAGGATTCAGCGTCCATCCTCGTCAATAAGGATTTGCGCACGCTTGTTTACGTGATTTCATGCACATGTAATTTCTTAGGGTTTGTATTTTATTCATTGAAATATTATAGGCCGGTATTCAGAGCGATTTAAGATCGTTTTAAGTATTTGCTTAAGTCCCTGTTTCCTGTACAAGACGGAGGCTGGAAATATGGGATAGGCAGCGATAGCAAATGCTTAAGACAATCTTAAGAATAAGCAACGACTCTGAATATCGGCCATAGTTTCTTATATCATTATTTCATTTCATACGATTTTCGTTTATCCCGTTTCTGATAGTGTTGCACAATTCGAGTTTTTGTATTTGACACGAGAGCTCGCCACGTCCTTCAACATCCTCCCCTGTCATTTTTTGCCTGTCACCAATCAAATAGAAATCACATTCCGCCCCAATCATGCAACTCATCCTGTACGTGTCGAATAAACATTGTCAGAGATTGATTTATGTCCCTAAAACGAATTATTGCTACTCGGATTAAACCACTATTTTTCATTGTTAGTGCACACGTTTTATTTAATTTTGCATTGCACTAAGCTGAAATATCAATCACACTTCTTACCCACGTATCGGAGTCACGTTGCCGCGAATTAATCAATCAATTAATCTTGTAACAATTTATTATTCAATGGGTTGCCGAGTCATAGATCGCTGTTGAGCATCGGGTGAAAGTGTGAGGAGTGAAAGTGCAGGACGGGTCGTAACGAATTACATATGCATTCACAATTTTCACTGTATTAACACATCCCGTTCCATCATAATCCTACATTTTCCATGCGCACGTTGCAGGTCGCTAATGACCTGTAACACGATGAACGTTTAGCACGTGATAAATGTCGCGATAAATATTCAACTATGAATAATGGCATTCAGTATCAAGTAAAAACACGTTGCGTCTCACGCACCTCATTCCGTAACAAGTTAATAATTCAAAAAACTAAATTGAACTGTGAAAACTATTTTGATTGACGGGAAAAAGTCGCGAGAATCGTGCATGACTGAGAAACTTCAATAAAAATGCGTTGCGAGCATCTCGCAATGTTTCCTCAAAGTTCGCAGAAAGAAACCCGCGGTTCACGAGTAACCGGGCTACGAGAGTTTCCACTTCTTTCTTGGTGGTCGCGATATTAAACCCGGGAACGCAGTTTAAAGCGTTCGTAATGTTTACACACGGGACTAATAAACTTGCCAAGCGAATGTAAAGCAAACAGCGATCGCGCATGGTACGAACGGTTTTATTGACAGGATCACGTGTGTGCAAGCTCGGAACATCGTGCCACGAGAAATGTTCAACGTCGTTCGATATAACCGAAACGCGTGTAACCGGTCACGTTAACCACATTAATGTTATAGTAATTAAATGCGTGACGCTTTTACCGTTATTTATTCGCTGTAAAAGTAGGATGAAATAAAACGTGACGGAGAGGGTTTTTTAACAAATTGAAATAAACAGATGTAAAACAATAAATGAACGAGTGTTTTTTGAATTTTGAAACATTTGCTATTTTAATTTCAATCTATCTGTTTTGTCTGCGAAATATGAACTGATGATCCTTTACTGCTTTTCAATACAATAAATTAAAGTTGCCACGAATTAAATGTTATAAACAGTTATGTGTATGTATTTATTCTCATTGATGATTGCTATTGATGTTTCCCCTGAAAATGGTTTGATATTTTCCAAACTCTGTACTCTGAAATATTGATTGCGCGGAAGTGCATAAAGTACGTTTTACGGCATTATAATTAATTACGTAAAATAATCAGTATTTTAATTTGAACATTCGTCAATAAAAAAATGGCAAAATTCTGTTTACGAGTGATAAACGTGTTCGGTTCGAAACGGGAATTCCAGTAAATATCGATGGAAAATCGCGAAAGTCATGGTCGAAATAATGAATTGAAATACCGTTCCTGTTCGATATAGAAATCACGAGGATGTGCTTGAAATACAATATCGCGTTCACGCGTCACGCGTCATCCCCTCTTTCTTTTTACTCGAAAATTCAATGCGTAAGCGCGAATTTCCAAAACTTACCGGGTTCATTTCCTATTAATAAACGTGTATATATTTTATTGTACAAAAAATCTTGACGTCGTATGAGAATTTTTAAATGCAATCTGGCATTAAACAGTTTTATTTCATGACTTGTCTGCCTCGTAAATACATGAAACCAGTTCGGGTATCGGTTTCGAATCCCGAAATTTTGTCTCCCTTCGTAACTATTTTCCCTCAGATCGTTCACTGTACCGTTCGTTTATTTACAGTTTCGACACGAGGGGACGGAGCTCCCTGGAACAAGGAAAACACTGGCAGAATATCAGCCTGGACAAACGTGCCTTCTTCAGATACTCGGAGCGTCCCGCGAAACTCACCCTGGAGAACGTCCGTGAGAGCGATGCCGCCGTCTACAGATGCAGGGTCGATTTCAAGCAGTCGCCGACCAGGAACAGCAAAGTCAATCTCACGGTGATCAGTGAGTACTCCAACGGATCACGATTTCCATTCCAGTATTCAAATCTTCCCTCTATTTTTCGTTCTTGTTAGAGAAATCACTTTATCCTCATACTAATAATGTTGAACATATATTGTCACGAACATTGTTACCTACCCCATTTCTTAAAAAGTGATTCTTATCGCAAACGCACTATAACAGCATTCCTTATTGCACGTTCCTCAGTAGATTCCTTTCTTGTATCGTCGAGTAGATGCTTACTTCATTTGTTCTGTGCGCATTCTTCTTTCATTCTCCATTAATCTTCTCGTATTTCCGTTTCGTCTCTTCGAGTTTCCTACATTCATTACTTCCTCTTGCTGCGGTAATGCAATATGTATGTATATATCTTAGTCCTGTCTCTGCTCGCTTGTTTATTGCATTTCTTTATCTTCTTAGATTACCATTAATTTGTATATTCATTCGATCCTTCCATTTTTAATGCCATCATTTATTATTCCCTTTCCCATCTATTTCCTTGGTTATTAATTTTGATACACGCATTTACATTTTTCATTTAGTTTTTTCTACATGCTTCGTAAACACAGTTTTAATTCCATCCTAAATATGTCGCATTCTTGCTCATCTACGCGCACATTTTACAGCTCAAATTTATTTCCTGTGCTATTAATTTTAATATCCACGTTTGTATGCAGCATCACCCTCCTTTTTTCAACCGCGGTACATTTCGTTTCCATATAGAACATTTTTACAATTGGTATTTTTCTTGTTAAGATAAAAATTTCATATCTTTATCTACCTGGACTCGTTCCGTACCCCAGTTGAGTTTCCCTCATTCGATACGCATCTTTCATTCTACGGTGTATACCCTCCCACCGTAGTTTACCTCTTTTAATACGAATACACGAGCACATAGAGAGCCAAGAAGGCTACGCAAGCATAAAAGGAAAATAAAAAAGAAGTGGAGTGGAGTCATTCGTATCCCTGTCACTATACCCGACTCGCACCTCTTTTCTTGATAAATCCCTAACTTTTCCTCTTACTTACGACTCTCCATTTCTCTATTTCTCCCTTGCCTCAACCCCCCGTCCCCCTTCCCTTTCTTCTTCATTCAAACAATTACACGTCCGCCGTTCCGCAAACAAAGCGATACATAAACCACAATTTTATTTCTTAAATACAATTTTCCCTCAAACCAAACATCCTCTGTCTCTCGTTTTATATATTTTTTCCAGCAATAGTCTCGTTGTAAAAGAAAGATACACAATTTCTTTTTTACCCGTTCCTTTTTCTCGGAATAATGAAAATCAGGTTTTATCGATCCTTTTCTGTTCTTATAGGAATTTTGTCCCAATGTTCAATATTCGTGATACGATATTCCATACATTGAATATCTTCCAATCAATAGTCTTTTTATTCGTCCCTCTTTCATCCGAGAGAATATATATAAACTACAATTTCAATTTCCGTACTCCAATCTCTAACAATTCTTGTTATCAATTTATTTCTGTAAAAACTTGCTTGCTGTAAATTCTGTAATTGGCTTTCTAAAAAATGAAGTTAAAATTGATCGTCATAGAGACAAACTGTTAATTCATACAATTGTATTATTCCCTTTATGTTTCTAACAAAAGGGACTTGATATTTCCTCTTCCTTATTTTCCACCGCCGCAGATCCTCTTCACCCATTTCCTTCCCGTTCCTCCTTCCTGACCAACTACGCTCTCCTTCGGGATTTCTCTCTGCGGCCTCTGGTTCTCTCTCTTTGATCTCCTCGGAGTTGATCGAGGCTTGCCAGACCGCTTTCCGCGATTAGCTCGAACAAACAGAGAATGGATCCGGTCTTCTTGACCCGGATCTACGGTTCAGCAAGCGCCGATTAAGGGGAGTTTTATCTGAGAAGTCGCCGGGGATCTCCTCCCGAGCTGGGACGGGGCGGAGAAATACGAAATTAGATCAGCAAGATCTGGCGGCGTTTGCCTTGTCGAAATCGCGGCATCGATGTCGGCAATATCGATAAGTAGATTCGAAATCCGCGAGCCGAGAGAGATCTCGTCGTTGAACGAAAGTACTCGTGTTACTCCTCCGAATTAATTGCCGATAAAGAAACTCGACCGGAATTAATTTCCCCTTTCTCCATCCCAGTTTTCCTATCCATTTGCGACACGAGAAACATCCTTAAAATAATTAAACGTCTGACAAAAAATATTAGATATCCCTCTACCTAAAAAAAAAAGGAATATTCTGAATTTTTCCCTGGAGGCTTGCACGGGATTATATTATATTATAAAAAAAATCCTTGTTATAATAAAGAAGACGACCCCGTTCTCCGCACCCCTTCAATTCTGGGCATCGTCGGGGTAAAAAACAATTTGCATATCGCGGCTTCTTAAGCGCGCCACGGGTCGGTTATGGGGCGGTAGATAAGAATGCCAGCCGCGTCGTGCGACGACTACGGTGTCCAACGGGTGACACACGCCTGCACACGGCCAGTAATTCATTGCCCTTGCAAATTGATTCACGCCATAAGCCAGGCCAAGGGTGCGCGCGGAGACTGCGGTAGCGTCGTGAAAAAACGAGGGCGTAGGAGAACTTATTGTGTGAAATTATTACAGTACCGCCGGAGAAGCTTAGGATATTGGAGGAAGACGGAAGATCTCATATTGCCTATTACGTACTGGGCCCGTATGCCGAGGGCGCATCCCTGAATATTACCTGCGTCGCTACCGGTGGTAAGTACTCGCATTTCACTTATCCTCTTGTTTGTTTATCGCTTAACCTCTCCGCTTTCCCCATCGTCTACCCCATTGATCTACTCCCGTTGAAAATTTTACTTTCGGGGAATCAGAAATAAAAAATTAAACTAGCCTGAGTTCGAGTCAGAGATCGGAATAGAAATGCGTAGATTTATATGTGCAATTATTAAGACAGATTTCTTATATTCTCTGCTGTATAGATCTAAGAGTTCCTGGTGTTTCCTCTCTGCTTTGATATTTTTATCGTTGAGTTCATTAGCCACGCGTTTTAAGGATGTATTGGCTTGTACAGTCAATCCCAAAAGTTTATGCACTTTAAAAACACATTTTTACACGTAGCTATTTAGTATTAGCATTATTCTTCCGACGTCTGATTTCTTTTTAATTATAGAAAATGCGTTTTTCTAAGGTACATAAACTTTTGGGGTTGACTGTATAGCCAATACGTCCTTAAGGCGATAACTTCGTGCCTCTTAAAATGTACATACGAAAAATCTCCCATTCTTCCTTCCCCTAATTTGTTCGCCCCTTTTTTTTCAAAGAAGAGACCAGCTATGATAGTCAAAGCGAAACTTGCGCGAGGCAACGTTTTAAATTGATTAATCTAATATGAAGTAGCGGTGCACAGTTTTACCCGACTCCTGTTCGTTGTTTCTAAAAAGAAATTTGCGTTTCATTCACATGCTCATTTCCGCACGCTTCATGATCTCCACGTAGAGGGTGTTCCCTAAAAAAATATTTTAATGAATGATATGCAGTGTTTCTGTTATCGTTTTTCATTGCATTTCTACTCGTCATAGCTTCTCTTTTAGAACCGCGACATGTTTACGTAACAGAGTGAAAATATTTTTAAAAAATTCATTAATGTCGAAGATTGGAAGAGTCATGATTATTACTATTTATTCATTCGTTGTGCTTAGCCTATCAGGGGATGGAAGAAAATTTAATTCGGGAATTCGCATATTTCCCTCCCCCCTTTGAGGCTTGTAAAAGTTATTAAAAAGCAATGAGATCCAGTGGTACGTACGTTTCATTACTCTCCGAACAACATCAATCAATGTAACACCAAGAAATTGCACAAATATAAATGCCGTTGGTAAACACGTAAATTTCGATTAAAAATGATCGATTGATAAAAGTACAAGTAGAAATTCATTTATTCCCGCTGTGAACTTTCACATCTCACAAAATCGACGCGATGCGAAATTAAACAAATCATCGCTGCGATTCGCGATTCCAGGTATCTATTCTCTCCTGCGGCGCGATTTCTATTCGCGTCGATATTTTCCCCTTTTTAATAACGTTTCATTTCACGTTTTACACTCGTCGCCGTGTAAAAATTGGAACGAGGTACGCGCGAAAAAATTTTCCATCAACGGAATATGTCATATGATCGCTCCGGGGAATCGAACTATGATTAAAATGAAAATTTAATACTGTTGGATAAAGAAAATTAAACCGCGCGTCGCGTTATACGCGAGGAACATTTATATGTATCTCTGAACAGAATTCCTTGCGTCGTCTCTTGAAATATACGAACCGACTCATTTATATCCTGTGGTATAATTAATAAACGTCAAAGATATATACTGGAGTAGAACAACGTGCAATAATATATTTAAAGAATTGTTTCCAAGTAAATGCAAGTCGTTCAGTCTGTGCACGCGCGTTTATCTTACCACGTCCTCTCCATTTGCGCGGCCAACCTCTCGGAGGTGGCACGCGTACCATTTTATAAAGATCTATACATGTAAACAGACGCGGCGGTGGAGCAAGAAACTTGGAGAACGTCGAGGAAAGTAGAGATTGCGAGCTAGCTCGCTAACGCAAAGGAAAGAATTAAAAAAAGAACCCCGGGGTGGGGAAGAATTTATATTCGGAGGGTGAAAAAGGTAGTGAAAGGAAGAAGCGTAGGCTCCGCGGGTAAAGCAATTTATTAACCCGTTGTCTTGCTAGCCCTCTTAATGGCCACGTTTGATGAAGTGTGCCATTTAGCTGCTCGCGATAGAATTATGGCACTGTTTGCAGCTGATTGCGCCTATTAAGCAGTTACACGATACATCGACCAGTTAAGTGACTACCGTCCCGGTTGAACATCTCGTCTATCATGTTGAACAACGAAAAACACGTTGAAAAATAATTATTTACATTTGTATAAAAGACAGAGTTTGCATACCTTGTCATTTCTAATTTTACAACAGAATTGTCGAAGTAACGTTTGAAGTTAAACAGTAGTAGGAGACACGTATTCACGATTTGCATTTCAGGGTAGAAATAGAATAGGAAATATCGACGCAGGTAGGAGCTCCGCTCTGTGTCTAACTGCTCCAACTTGTCTGACTATGTACGGAGTTGTACTACTTAATGAGATCCTACTTCAATGAATACGTTACATTTTCATTCCGAAATACATGGAGATCGTTCCTCAGTGATTCTTTGCAGAATTGAGTCTACTTTTATCGATGTTTATTGTTAACATCGATTTTTAATTAATTATTATATTTGAGTTTGCATACCTTGTCATTTCTAATTTTACAACAGAATTGTCGAAGTAACGTTTGAAGTTAAACAGTAGTAGGAGACACGTATTCACGATTTGCATTTCAGGGTAGAAATAGAATAGGAAATATCGACGCAGGTAGGAGCTCCGCTCTGTGTCTAACTGCTCCAACTTGTCTGACTATGTACGGAGTTGTACTACTTAATGAGATCCTACTTCAATGAATACGTTACATTTTCATTCCGAAATACATGGAGATCGTTCCTCAGTGATTCTTTGCAGAATTGAGTCTACTTTTATCGATGTTTATTGTTAATATCGATTTTTAATTAATTATTATATTATAAAAGAATACTCTGCCCAATGAAATCATATAATATTTTTTATTGTATTTGTGAAGATTTTTATTTGTTCAGTCGAATCTTTTAACTACATTCTGATGGAATAATTCAGAATTCCAGCTAATTTTTTATCGTACATCAAAGGAGATACCCTAAACGACGACGCGTAGTTGCCAACGCGCGTTTATGTGTCGGCGACGTTAAGGCGCGCCACAAACCGCATCTCGCGGCTCGCCGGGAATTGCCGCGCGTTTGTTATTTGCGCGAAACCGTATTTATCTATAGGGAATTGCGCAGGCCCGCGCTCGGCGGTGGCCCATAATCTGAAATGTCTCTCGCGTCTACTCCCCGCGGCTGAACGTTATTGCGCGTCGCGTGCCACGAAATATTTCGCCAGCTGCCGTTTTCTGCCGTGAAATTACCATTTAACGCTCTGTTTCTGTAACCGACCGCTTTACCCGGCCTCGTTCCCGTCGAAATGGCCTCGAAAATTTCTCGGTTGCCGTTTCAACTGCATGAAAATCGCTGCCCCGGGATTGTTTCATAAAAACTGTGTCCCCCTGTCTGTTCTGTTCCTTTTTAGTCTCACACCATGTATGTATTATCGTACCACAATTGCCAAAGTCTCTTTTTTCATAAACATTATATCGAGAATGCTACTGTTAGACTTTTTGAATCGACTTTTTGACTTTGACTCCTCATTCTCACGTTCATCTATTCAACGATTTATTCGACACGCGTAAATAAACGATAGCAAAGCAAACAGAAAAACAGTGGAAGAGGAGAACGAGAAATATGAAACTGAGGATCCGTTTCCGTGGCCGCAAAAAACAAAAAAAAAATAGTGAATTGAAATTTGAAAGTCTATTTTGATTCCTTTTTAATATTTGTATCGTCTTTCTTGTTTGTTGACGAAGAAGAAAATAAACGAGCCCAATCGAATTTTTGAATATAGCATGAGCAATAAATTGTACGCCAATAAAAAAGATTTAATTAATAGAAATACCAATCATTTTTTAAATAATTGGACAGGGTATTAAAAATTAAATCAAAACCACTGAATATTGCATATTAAAACATTTCACCGAGAAAATTCATCCTAAATCTCATCCATTCAATTTCCCCAAACTCCTGCTATCGCCAATACTTTGAATAAACCCTAATGGTCGAATCAGTCAGGATCCACGCAAAACTAATTCAATTTGTACCGTAGTTGAACGTAGCGAATAGCGTATATCGCTAAAAAAAAAAGATTGGTAGGAGATAAAAACGGAGTGAAAGATATATCGAACTTTTATTGAATTTTTTTCCACTCGCTCGTCGAGAGATATGGATCGGTACAGTAGTGGGGTAGCAAATTGACACCGGAAACGAGTATATACGCGCGGTCTCGGTTCGCGGAACCCGTCGCTCAATCCATCTCGTTTTCGAACAGGTCGACCGCAACCGCGGGTGACGTGGTGGCAGGAGAACGCTCTTCTCGACGACACTTATGAGACTGTCGGTACCAAGAGTGTTCAAAACGTGCTGCGATTGGAAAAGTTGACCCGCGAGCATCTGAACGCGGTCCTCACCTGCCAGGCGTCGAACAACAACATGGTCACGCCTATATCCAGCTCCGTCACGCTCAACATGAACCGTGAGTACAACAATCCTGTTCAAACCCTCATAAAAAAGTGTTAGGAATATAAAAAACTGTTAGAAATAGAAATCACAAGCCATGACGTATATCGCACAATTTCTAAAAATCTTGAATCTACAAAACGTCGAATGTTCCGTCGATCAAAAATGTATGAAAAATTGTATACGTTCGGACACAACGATGCATTCTATGAAAAACAAATGTGCCTATCCTGCACGGAATATTACATATCCCATTTCCGTTATTACGAAAATTCGAAACGAAAAAAATGATGAATCGTGGAAATACGTCCAACGTTTTACTCGTGTACGCGGAATATATAAAATGCATGTTCCTCTTGTTGCGTGTTGCGAAAAAAAAGCACCAGCGAAATATCCACTGTGCTTATTGCACCTGCAGAGTAAACAAACATCGCGAACGAAAGCCGCTGTGCAAGCTTGTTTCGTCATTAAACCGCTCGTCGGTAAAGGAAAATAAAAAGGGATAGATATAAAGGGACGGCAATATTTAAACAGCTCTTAATAAAACCTCGAATCACGGTTCTGACGCACTATCAAAAGACAAATATTTAACAAATAATTGAACGATGAATCCGCTGAAACCGTGGCGCGGCGTGTTCGCCGATTCAGAACTTTTGGAAACGTTCCATTAATCGAGCCCGGTACCGGTCGAAATGAATACGCAAACACTCCATAACGTAGACGAATCTTTCCCGTTACCGACGAGGTAGATCTTCCGAGACTGGGACTAATGGATGGTTTTATGGACGGTGTGTTTCAGTGAAGCCGCTGAGAGTCCGCATGCAAGGGGAGAATCGTCCATTTAGCGCCGGTTCCACGTACGAGATCAGTTGCGAGGTGGTCGGTGCTAGGCCCACGCCAAAAATTACTTGGCTGAAAGGGAGCGTGATACTGAGGAACGCCAGGCAAACGGTAAAACTGCATTTTTTATTTTTAACGATAATACAAGAGAACTTCGTATTAAAAGTTTGAGTACATTGAATAGATTTTTTAATCGCCACTATCCTAATTGAAAATTGAAATAATAATGTGGATTGTTGAAAGGACTAAGACGTTACTTATCTATTTGTAAAATATTTGCGGTGAATTAAAATCACTGTCGATTACCTCGCTTACGCTCGCACAATATTTCCCTTCCATATAAATTTCCATTATCACCGCAACACACCTCCCTCAAGAAAAGAAATCTCCGCTCGGTAAAACAAATTTGATGCCTCGGGCTGTCTAAGGATTTAATTACGCGATCAGAAAAAAGTATAGAAAGAGAGAGAGAGAGAGAGAGGGAGCGTTCTCGCGCTCAAGAAGCTCATCGTAATATCTCCTGGTGGAAGTCCGTTCCGTGGCCAATATTTTGCAAGCGACCGCGCAATTTCGCCACGGAAAGCAATCACGGCTAAGTCTCGCCCTCGCTCCCTCTCCCTTTCTCTCTCTCTCTCACTCTCTCTTCATCTCACACTTTTTTCTCTATCATCCCGACCGCCTCCGGTTCTCCGATTCCCCGGGAGGATCGACTTCCGGCGGGCCGTCAGCCTCGCCGACTCCCTCTAAATCAGCTAAGCCCGGGGGCCAACGTTTGTTTTTTCTTTGCGCGCGCGTGTGTGCTCTCGCGCCCGTTCGCATCGGCCGATCAGCGAACCAACCAGTTCGGTAAACTGTTTTAAATTCATGAAACCCATTTCACAGATGAGCCCCGACAACAATGTCACCACCAGCGTTCTCACGTTCATGCCGAGTATCGAGGACGCCGGCAAGTTCCTCTCCTGCCGCGGTAGCGTGCCGGATATACCGGATTCCGAGATGGAGGACGGATGGAAGCTCGACATACACCGTGAGTCTGTTTTCATTGTAATCATATAAATGTCCGGATAGAAAGGGACCCGCACGTCAGTCACTATAAATTAAACCGTTTTTCTCTGACCACGATCTCATTTCTAATCAATGTCTCGAACAATAATGATAAACGACCCGAAGATAATGGTTTCTAAAAAGAGGAAGTGAACGTAAGAATTTTTCGAAGGATTTCTCGGACCTAGAAATCTGTTCGATTGGTTTCCGGATTGCAGGAATTTGGAAATGTTCGGCTCCGGTTTTTGCAGGACCTCGTCCGACGGTGAAACGGTTCCGCGTCGCTGTCCAATAAAAATGAAATATGGTTGACGAACGATTTATTGCGCCGCCGCGCCGCGCCGCGTGAAACGTAATTTAATTCGTGTAATCGATAGAGCAACGAGTCCGGGATCGATTGTTTCGGAACCGGTGACGCCGGGTTCCATAAAGTTTTTCCACTGGGCCCCAGGGGCTCTAATGGGAAACGCGTGTCGTCACAGGCGGCCATTCTTCCCAGTCAACTTCCCCGCGACGCGCCGGGCTTATTTGGATTAATTAAAAATTTTAATTAATTCTTTCGAAGCTCTTTAGAATAGGCGAAAAATTCTGTCGCGTCCCGTCGACCGGACCGTGGGGTCGAGTTAAGTTGAATCTGTTGCAGTATGCAAGTGACGGTGAACGAAGGTAGAACGTAAGGTCCCCTGTTGGAAATTATTAACGTTATAGGAAATTGGTGGACCGTGGGAAGGGTGTAAGAAACCGTGTACTTTGTGCTCGGAAAGCTAAATTAAATTTTTACTTCGAAACAGAACATCATTTTCGCGGGATTAACTAAAGTTCCCGAAAGCGCATCTTGATGAGTTCCTTTAAGGATTCTCCTTTTTACATAAATGATGAGAATATTTTATTCTATCTATTTTTCTATAAATGATGAGAATATTCTATAATCTGAATTAAATGTAAAAATATATTTCTCTAACTCACACGAACTACTATCATCTTATAAATTTTAGGATAAACAAAAATTTTTTATACGACTCCCGTATTTTTCTTGCCACTTTCATTATTGACAATGTCCCATTGTTTTTGCGTCCATCGTATCGCCATAGAAAAAAGTGGCTCGAGGCGCTTAAGCAGCTGGATTGGCACGATCACAGTGGGCAGTGTTCTAGCGTGTTCGTTAACTCTTCCATTTTTAGACGTTTCTCTCGTTGGTACGGGGTTGTTCTTCCGCATTGAATAGTCATCCTTCTGTAAATTTCCGCTCCACTAACACCCTCGCCGCTTAAGAACCCGACGACAGCGCGCTATTCCACCGATGTGCAATCTTACAGTGGAACGGGCTCCCTGGCAAGCGACCAAAACGCACTATAAACCAAACACAAACGCCCGGGCCAGAACGAAAGCGATGCCAAATATTTAAAGAAAAATTTTTCCGATGTACAACGACGGTACCGACTCCTCTCTATCCTGTTTTTAATCCGCAGAATACGTAATAATGTAAAGCAACCGGAGCCTCGTTGGGACATGATTTAATTCAAACATTAATCTCCTATCAATTCGGGAAGGAAGTTTTACATTCTTTCCGTGATACAGATTCGATTTCATCAATGAGACCGATGAAACAAATATTAATTCTCTCTAGGACACAGATTCCTATCAATGAGATTTAATTCGAGCAAATATTAATCTTCATCAATACCAGTTTTTCATACGACCCTGGGCGACCGATTCGATAATCGAATTCTAATAGAAAAAATGCGTTTCGCTCCGGGCAATCAAATTTTATCAATTGCTTCGAACAAGCAAAATACGAAATCAATAATGGTTTAAATTAAAGGCAGCAGAGAGGCGGCTCTTCAATCCGAGTTAGCGTACTTGAGCCACGATTTTTACCGATAGACCACGACGAAGTCAGACGGGGAACTTGTCGTTCGAAATTAAAACTCGCGTTGCGTGTAAGTGGAACGGAAGACTTATTTATTCAGCGTCGAGCCGAGGCCGCATATTAGCTTCACGGTTGATTATCGGAGTTCGCTATTAGCAAGAAATTCGCACCCTCGTAGCCTATTCGCTCCTTCTTAGCGGATAAGAGTCGAACGAGCGAAAGTACGTGGAGAAAGGATCGTGGAAAGAAGGAAAGAAGACAGAGAACAGTGAAAGAGCAGCCGCAATATCGATTCATGATGTTCGCCAGCCGGAGCTCTCTTGCTTATGATTTCTCTCGGCCCCGAGAACGTGCCTCGTAATACGAGCCCACCGAACGAATCCGATAATTCCGCCGCAAGATTCGTGCCCGCAATAACGAGTAAATTTTCCCTACTTCTAACCTCCGTTCTAGCCGATTCGCTCCGCATCTGTGTGTTCCCGTCTCGCTCGTTGAAATTACCAGGTCCGGGCGCGACTAATGGAAAAAAAAGGGGTGAAACAGAGAACGAGGGGCAGATAGGCAAATGAGGGAAGAAAGCAGAGAAGAAACGGGGGGACAGAAACGAGATTGGAAGAACGACTAAACGTGGACGAGGGGCAGGGCAGTAACAATGCGCGCGGGTACGCGGAGGGAAAAAAACGGGCAGAGCGAACCGATAGGACAGGGGCATAGGTTGGATAATTAAAAAGAGACGGAACATCGGCGAGGGAGGAAGAGAGTCGGATAAAAAACGGAGGGAAGAAAATTGCGAGAATGAGAGAATCTTCAGTCATGGATCGGCGTGTACCATTAATTTCCGTGGGGCTGATCCCTGGTTTCCTGTTTCTCTCTTTCGCCGGTTCTCTTCGCTACAGTTCTCCGCCCGCCTCTGCCCGCTGCCCAGTTGGGAAAAACTTTTATATTGGACACTGAAATCACGGCGTTAATCTCCGGCAACCGGTGCACGAACGGCCGCTCTGCATAACGTCGGGTTCGTTACGGGCCCAGTCTCTTGACCTCTTCCGGTTGCTTCGAAATTTACAAACGTAATCCACGCCTTTAATCAAAAATACGCGGAACACGCCCCCGCATTCATTTACGTCTCGCAGTCTCTACAGAAATGTTTGATAAAATTTCTGATAGATAAAACACGCGGTTAAATGTGTATAAAGAATGTACGACGAAATTCACTGAATAAAAAGGCTAAAAGCCGTTTAATCTGTTTTCGGAGGTACGATAGACCCTTTTAACGAAGTACCGGTATAACTAGCGTGTCGAAATATCCATTGTTTGTTCGAAGCACATCGTCAAGGGGAAACATTGAAGCGATCAAGCGGGAAACCGTTCGGTCCAGTTTGATTTAGCTTTCTGATCGCCAACAGATCGCCGCCGGCTGCCACCAAGGTAGGATTAACAGGGAAAATTGATTTTGTTGTTGTCAGAGTGGAACGGGGCGACCAGGGAGGCAATATTACATTAAATGCAAGTGGAAATTTAACTTGTTTGGGTTGAAAATCACGAATAGTGATAGTTGTTTACTCCATAAACTCTAAGTATTATATAAACGCGTATAATAAGTTGTTTGTAAAGCAGATTAAGCAACGTGTTGGCTAACGAAATGAATTGATGCTAAGCAACAAACACTACTGTTTATCAGATTCAAATACATTTTCATTATAGTGATATTCTTTGTAATTAAAATTATAATTATATTAATCGTGCATTTCTCTATTATTTTAAATAACAAGAAAACATTCTCATTTATTTGTGACACATACTGTAATCTTACACATATACAAGACTGTAGCATGTCTCTTTGTACAAAACATCTCTGACACAAGGACACGGCGCCGTTGAACTTTCAGACGAACCGGTGGTTACGCTCGAGCTCGGGAGCAATTTGAACTTGAGCGCAATCCGCGAGGGTATCGACGTTTACTTCGAGTGCAACATCAAGTCGAATCCGTGGGTCTACAAGGTCTCCTGGCGGCATAACGTGAGTATAAACCCCATCTGAACTTCTCATCCTCCCGAAAATCGCATCCCTCTCTGCTATCTGTGTTCAACGACGACGACGACGACGAAGCGACGCGACGGGCGGCGCTCGGGTCGGACGGTGGCATGCCCGCTAAAAGCTGAATAACGAATCTGCGTGGCAGTTCCGGAATCGATAATTTAGACCCAGGTCTGAAGCTTAATCGGGAGCGGGTGATAAAGGGGGACGGGAGACGGGCACAGCTGTGACGCGAAGTTTCCGTTTAAAATTTACATGCTGATACGAGCACGGGAACTGGAAGCAACGCGTAAGCGTTCTTTGAACTAATAGCCGGTGTTCCGCATCGATAAGAAATTTATCGGCGAGTTTCGGGACTGTTGACGTAACGTTAAGCGTTTCAGGCGCCTCCTTAAATGGAGTCTTGCCTGCCGGAGATCCGTTAATAGGATGCTACTGGGAAAACCGCTGCAAGCGATGTGTACCGATTTCCAGGAGATTTCGTGGGCAACGGTGATAGCTGTTTTGCCTAAGATTTATTGACCAAGTTTAAAACAGAAAAATTGCAAATAAATGTTCCATCTATCTACGGGTAATACTTCAGAGATCATCGTAATAATTTCATAACGTAATAAAGGGAGAAGCTTCGGTGTAGGAGTCATTCTTTATCCTATGAGTAAATGAGGGACTCTGGTAATGTATGACGCTATATGCAGATCTGTGCAAACGTTACGATTAGAAGAGAAACAAAGTCAATTGTTGTGCGCGACAGTTCCGATGAATCAACAATGTGGGACGCGATCGGTATCGAATTCACAGCAATCACAGCGCGAGATTTGTTTAACGATTAGCTAGACCAATGAGCGGGCTTCCTACTCAATATTAATCTGTTTGATATTGACGTGTTCAATCTACTGCGGGTCGCTAACTAGTTACAGATATACGCGGTATCTACTATTTATTGTTAACAATTTTATCCTTCTTGCGAACAGTGTCTGCTAAAACGAAAGTACATTCAATGTAAACGTTGTTAGAATTTGAGTAACACAATTACAAACATTTCTGTATGTTAATGAAGCCTCTCGGTATTTCCTTGAATAAAGTAACAGTTGAGACATGTGCGAAATACATATTCGACATGATCGATCATCAAGTGTAGAAAATTATTATAAAAGACATATACCGTTTGGGTAATAAAAATTTTATCTGGGTAGAATACTCTGAAATTGGAAGATTAAGACAGTAGGTGCTCGGCGTCCGAACATAGGAACTACTGCATAATCCTTTGAATCCTACACAAGGAAGGATTTATGGCAATTTCTTATCACGTGCATAAATATGATATTCGGATCAAAAAGTTTGTAAAGCTTCCCAGGTCAGAGGAACGTAAATGCCGCTGTTTTCTCACATTTTTATACCCCTTTTTTACGAATCATCGTTACTAATTCCGTTTACGCCTTAAAACGAAGATATCTCGACTTATATACACTTCTCTGCCGGCCCACACTTCAACGCGCTTTTACGTTCTATGACTTCCGTTTCGTACAATGAGAGAATTGTATATTTTTGCATTACTACGTTTCATCATGAATATTTTAATTCCGGTAGTCTCGCTTTACTCCCTTGCGAAATAATCGTAAAAGGTAAACGAAAATTCTGCCAAGCTAATTACTATATTCATTGTTTTATTTTCAACTGGTTTTGTACGAAAGGATTAAGCGGAATTAAATTAACACCTTTATTAATCATTTGAATATTTCAAGAATTTTCTGACAACGAAGGGAATCATTTTTTTTTTACGACAGGATGCGATGTCTCAGAATTCAATTACGATTTCTTGCGCGAAGATTTATTTTAAACGAATGCAGGCGGCTTCGCACCTTTCTGTCTATATACCCGAGTTCCATAAATATTTCTACGTGCGGCTTCGGATCATAATGTCATTGTAGTCACGAAGACGTCCAGAGAAACGGCTTTGTCGATTCTTCATTTGATTCGGGAACAGCCGCATGACGGAAGATTCCCTACCGCCACCGCCACCGCCGCCGTCGTCGTCGTCGTCGTGTTTCGTGGAAATTCAAAGGAGCTTCGCGACGCAGCCTGCAGAAAGGAGCGGAAAACGGAAGACATTGTCGGCAAGGTTGAGAAATTGAAAAACTGTCAGCACGGTCTTCAACTGATGCTTTTTTTTCTCTTCCTTCCTTTCTCCTTTATATCTACTATAATTCCATTGTTACTTTCCTCTGTCGAGCGAAATTTATACGTGAATCTTATTGATACGATGGAGCCATCAATCACCGAAAATAATAAAATCTAAATATGTACTAAAATCTATTTATTGCCTCTATTCCAAAAGAATACTAAAATCAACAAGAACATATTAGTCAGAATAGAATTTTTATTTGTGAACGTATATTAAATGCGCTCCAGTTGTACGAAGTAGACTTGGTTATTCGATAGGTGACGAGGTGGATATGACTTTCTCTGTTTGCAGGGCAATCCATTGTATCATAATCCTGGGACGGGCACCATAATCAGTAATCAAAGCTTGGTACTGCAAAGCGTGACCCGTAGCAGAGCCGGGATCTACACGTGTATTGGCAGCAATCGGGAAGGCGACGGGGAGAGCAACCCACTGAACCTGGACATCAAATGTGAGTATATTGGCTATTCATCTTCAGCTATAGTTGAAAGAGACAGAGATATAGAATGCATTGTGTCGTGGTACAATACCACGACGAATAATAATGTTGTCACTAAAATTGTATTAATTCCTTGTTTGATACGGAGAAAAGGAAAAAAATATTGATGTTTAATTTATCAGAATTCTGAACAATGTTTTCGGAATATTTAGAGCACGTGCGATATTAATTACAGATTTTTAACTCTTGTAATCCAAGATTTTAATAGATAATATTTAATAGATAGATAGAGAACGCTTGATATGTAGGACGGTAATTATTGATCATTGTGAGTTAAACTCAATGCCAATAAAATTAGCATTGATTAATACATCAAATATTGTCAAATATGTTGATGTATGGCTGCCTGAACTGGGAACGTTTAAAACCGCAGTTGTTAAATAATTACTGCGAACTGCAACGTAAACTCTCAGCGGTAGATCAAACATTAACGAGGGGAAACTGAAACGAAACCCAAAGGTGAAAGCTTTCAGTAGCGCAACAAACTGGGAATTTGCTATTTCCGGTTGGGTACAGGAATATGTAGGAAGTACGATTCAGTGGCTGCTGCGGGACAGCATTATACGCAACGAACCAGAGATTGTTGCTACGAATCTGGCTTTACGGATTTATAGCTGTTCGGATAAAAGGTGGAACGGATTGCGAGACGAACAGAGAAAAGTAACAGAGAGGCATAAAACAGGGAAAGTCATGAAGCCGGCAGCAGCGTGGCCACTAAAAGCGTTCAAGGAAACTGGCTCATAACAATGTGCTTTTACCACATAATGAAACATTTAACGAGAGACGCGTATTAAGCTGCAATCGCTCGCATATCACGCTCGTATCAGTACAATACGTCCCCGCTCTGAATGTAGTATAACGTCATTTTTGCGTTAACAAAGTAACCGCTCTGTATTCCCCGACAAGTGCGGAATTTACCTTCGTTTTCGTGCAAAAACAATGAATCTGCTGCACAATAGTCTAGCATCCATTTCATGAAAATACAAGTGGAGTTAATAACTTCGGTGGAAATAAACTATTTCAATCTGTTCATAATTCTTCAATGATATTATATTTATTACTTAAAATGAAACAGTCAATTAGATAAATTTTTTAAATGAAAATTTAATCGTTTCTTAATCTGATTTTCTGTTCTTCAAACTTGCCACGATCGCACTCAAACTTGCTGACAGAAATTTGCAAAGAGACTTAAAATCTTCCACAGAAAATTTGGTGAATCTCGGGTGTGAAAGCTCAGACCCCGCATAGCTCTAGCCTAAAGCATTTATCCTAATTTTGCTCGCGCTGGAACTTTGCTTCCGTCTTGTCCACCTCGCGAGCTGAGTCGTCTTATCTTCATCTACCTTAAACTTACTTTAAACTTCCTCTGTTTGAAAGCTAAACTTCTGGGTAGCTTGAACGTTTCCTCAAATTCAACTATGTCTGTTCTCAATATTCAACCGCGTTTCAGGAAACAGTCGTATCCTCGAAAGTCATGCTTGTTCAGAATCAATTATTCATTCTATTTTACGTCTGCTCGAACGAGCTTAATTGATTCTTGTTACCATTAAATCATCGGGAAACCGCGAAATCTCGCTGCAGACATACCGGAGTTCACGAAACGCAGTATCCCCGGCGGCGACGAGGCGCATCCCATTCTCCTCCATCACGTGCGCGCAGATCCTCTCGGGCAGCTTCCGGGCCTCGCTGCTATCGGAAGGCCACTTGGCGCACACGCGCATAATTCCGCACGATCCGTGCCACGTTCCGTGTAGCCAGTAACTCGTATACGTGTATGCACGCGCCCGTGCACGATTCGAATCTCATCAAACACCGCGGCTCGGGCGCGGGTCGCCTTTAACTGCCTCAGACGGGCTGTTTAACCCGACGGACATGGCCCACCAGGAACACGGGACGCCCTCGTCCAGGGCTTCGAATTCCGGCATGTGTCAAACGGTAGGTCGTCGATGGTCAGCTGGCAGTTGCGAGCGTGTACGAGCGGTGCCACGCGGTCCAACGGATTAGCCGCGGCAGTTTGCCGGCGTTAAGGTCATTACACACTGATTTGCTCGGCTGACCATATGGCCTACGCTAGGTCGAGACTGACTGTCATTTGATCGTAAGTTACAACAGGACTTGAGACACCGGATTACGCCTGTAACAAGGTGGAAACCCGTTGCGCTACCCGAAACACCCGCCAAAACGGAACGTCGATGGTAACCGACCGTGTGATCTCGGCTATCGTCGATAACGTTCAACGCAGTTTGCTTCTTGTCAATTAGAGGACATAAATAACTGGAGTAAACTTTTTCTAAAAATACTTTTCAAATTTCTATTCTCGTAAAAATACGATAAGACTCTTAAGAACATTTCACTTGATAACTGAACCAAGCAACTGTATCACGTCTCACCATTCTTTCACTTTTATGCCACTCTGAGTCAAAAAGATTAGAAAATCACTTCATACACCTTCAAATATTATTTGCATCCTATCAACACTTCTCCAAGTGATATACAACCCACTGAGCCGAAGAAATAACGTTTCATAAGACAGCGTAGGTGGGCGGAATCACGTGTCAGTCTCCTGCATGGACATTAAGGACCGTACTAAATCATCGCGGCAGGTTTGGTCGCGGGATTTGCATAGGACACCATATGTACGAGCGCGTGCACCGCGTACTATGCACGCATGTGTACTGCATGACATGGCATGCAAGGAATCGACCAATTCGGGTGCAACACGTACAGACGGACGCGTGCATACATCCACCAAATCCTTCTTGAATTTCGCGAATTTAGATTCCCGAGGTTTGTTTCCTCTACGAGAAACAATTTATGGCACGCCACAATGTTTGCATCCATTTAGAACTATGATTTTAATTGAAATACAATGTGGAGTATACATATTTGATGCTGAAATTCATTCATATAATAATATTTGTTAAAAAGCAGACATACATCATTCTAGTCGTAATTTTTACCTGTGTACCAAGTCTGGAACGTATGAAATCAGAAATCAAGGCAAAATGACGTTAATATTCGAGTTGGAGATGCGCTGACAGTTGATGGAGATCCAGACAAGAAAAATGGGTTTTAGTTCATTTCAATCCGTTCTGGAAGTATGAGCTTCCTAAGTTTTAACGGCTCACTGGAATACCCAGGAAATCCCGGCGCCGACTTGACCTACATCTTTTCCATCTTCCAAGAATCTCCCAAGAATCGCAGGTGTGTCCTAAATAATTTCCTGAAAATTCGCCACAGGCGCCTGGCTGTTCGAGGCTTATGTTAGTAGACTGAAAGTCTGAGAGAAAAGAACAACGATAACAGTTCGAAAAAAATAAAATCAAGACGAATCGAACTACATTTTAATGTAGTGGCTTTTCACTTGCAACAGTTAACTTGTTAAAAGTCTGGAATAATAAGAATCATAGAGTTCAGAAGTCCATTTTTATAATTATGTTAGAATTGTACTCTAAAACCAGCCTTTGTACACGTTATTCACACATTTCAAACGCCATTTTTCACACCTTATAACTCCTATGAACCGCGTAAGGTGACGTGAATTAGCATATTACAGCAAAACGCGTACAATTCGGCGGACTAAAAGTCATTTTAGAAAAGCGAAGTGACTGGAACCGGGCTCCATTAAAGCGCATTTCCTTTTTACCCGGGCTCACCTCTCTATCGCTTTGTGTTTCTCCTAGTAATAATTTACATGCAAATGGTGACGTAGCGGGGCGAGGAAGGAAAACAGTGTACCATGATCAATAGAAAGAGAACGACGGAGAGGCTAAATTCGGGCTCCATTTATAGCGGTAACGAAAGTTAAGATTTCAGTTGAGTTTTAGGATACATAATTATAAGCCGGCGAGAAGGGTAAGCGGGTACTGCTTTCTTCGCTCGGATCTTAAGCCGCTTACTTGCCTGTAAAATACCGGACGCGGCACGCGAAATTCTCTCGCTTCTCTGTCCTTCCTTGCTGGGGGCAACGGATGGAACAAAGAAGCCGAGGATTAAATGCGAGCGAGTTCACGGCGACGCAACGTTTAGCTTTCGCGGAGAAAAGGGATTATTAAATGAGAAATAATTGTTGGATAACCTGCTACCTAGAATTTCGGCCACCATTTAAAACGTTTATTTGTGACTAACGACCGGTGAAGAGTTTCGTCCAGTCCGTTAAATGGCTCCACGAAGCCACCATTCGTTGTCGTTTCATAAGCAAGGATTTAACGGGACGGTTGTTCAAATAGAATATTAATACCGATGGTTTCGTAAACCATTTAAAAACATTTCATTTGAAAAACATCTGATCTTTCTTTTTTGTTGTACTTCAGAATTATGAAATTCATTCTTAGAAAGTGGAAAGAGACGAAGACCGTAATGATCGAAATTTATTTTGAATAATAAATATTTTCGTACTATTTAATTAAGGAAGAATATTTTGCATGAATAGTAAATCTCATTTGTGTAATACAAGATTTAAAATAAAGTCTGCACGCTCGCGTTTAAGTAGTACGAGTCAATCATTGAACGACCATAGCAGCTGTGCTCAGCAAAATATCGTTAGTTGACGATCAGTCTAAGAAGATAACAGACATGGATGGGAAAAAGTCAGGGGTACTTGTTACAATGATAATAGACGTTCCTGACATAGGAATGACACGCATTATCAATAAACGAGTCGTCGACGGGATATGACAGTTCTTAAAAATTCACAGAGCCGCGACGCCGCGTGATCACGTCGTCAAGTAACGACTTTAAAACGCTGAGACAAGATCGATGTCGCGCGGTCCAAGTCGTCATTTGATTCTCTTAATTACATTCCGCGATCTCCTTTCTTCCTCTCCAGGAAAGGGGCGGATGTATCGAAGTCTGTCCGTTTTTATGAATGGCCCGAGGGCAATCACCTTGCGAACAGTTTATTTCGAGCGCAGACCTGCGGTGATTAATAATCGAATAGATCCGGGTGACGC